GAAAATTATACTAATCAAACACAATTAATTACAATTCCCAGGAAAACATTTTCTAGGAAAATCTTTTCCCTGTAAAACATTTTCTTTCCACCCAATTTCCACCCTTGCAATCAAACGCACCCTTAGTTTTCATGAAGGAACATTTTTCACCCGTGTAAAGTGGATGTGAAACGTCAATTAATACACAGTTAAGATGCATATTGTCCTCAGCTTTTCACCCACTTTAAGATAATGATTAGTGAACATTGTTATATTACACTTACACCGCATATGCCCGTATGTTAGCAAGAATTACAGTAAAGCCACTTTCCATGCTCAAAAGTAGAAACTACTTAAATGTTCATAATGTGCACAGCTTCACCTAAAGGAAATAACATGACACAAGAAAATCCTAGACAACATTTAGTATGACAAGATTAGATTATGCCAACTCTACCAATTAGTACATTATGACGAGCACAAGAGAAATTGAACTAATGCCCAGAAAGTTACAGTGATGTAATAATTCATTTCAGCAGTTTCTCAAAAGAATTCACAATCCAAGTAGATGAACTTACAATCACAGATGTTACAATGACTTTAACTTCTCCCCTGTGTGCCATGGTCAGCTCAGTAAATCTCTGCACCATACGCTCTAAATGTGCCAGCCTCCCAGATTCAGCTACAACAGCTGGTACAAACAAGAGAGGATCGATCATGAATGCCAATATTGAAATAACACAGCAAAGACAGCAGAGTATTAAGTATTAAATACAAACAACCGAAAATGAAACCATTCAAATAGGACTGTGCAAGCAAACATGCAAGGGATATGTCAATTCTGCGGATACAAAGTGTAATAATAATTATTCACGTGATAATTTGCTACACGAAACCAGAGCTGTCATTCACTAACACCAAATAATTTTTGGGTAACTGTTAGCGTCATAAAGAAGCATATATAATCTTGTTCGCCGAGAGCAACCATAGGATCTCAGTCACAAGTATTTTGATTTTTCTCCTAGAAAGATGAAAAGAATGAATGTTCACAAAGGTCAGAGGACATAGAAAACCAGGATTAATCTCTTTCCAATTAGATTTCCAGTGACCATTAAAACAAAATGCTTTTCAAGTACTTCCAATTTTTTGGTAGAACATAAATATGAGATTTTCAATCCTGTAAATCTTCATGCTCAGAAAAAAACAAAATGCCACAAGCATAAAACACTTGCAGGATACAAATATTACTTTCGCACTTTATGGCAATTGAAACAACATAAACCGACACCCATTCATATTTAATTCCATCTGGAACTCAAATACCTAGAATCTGTGTATGTGACAACCAAGACAAAAGCCAATGCTATTCAATTCAACATGTGATGACAACCAAAGCACTGACATCCTTTACAAATCACTGCTAAGCAAGATAGTAATAGGATTGCACATTAACTATATATGAGTGTGGATAAGTGGAAAAAGTTTTTTTAGCAAAATGCATGCAGTATGATGCAACTCATACGAAATAACCAAGTTTTCCAGATGCCTGCACCTATTTGAAAGTTCAACCACTAGTACGAATAACCACCAAAGACATCCTGTCTCGAGAAGAAAGCTACACGCGCTCTTAAAACTACCAACCCATGACAATAGACATTTTCTAAATCAGAAGATGAATCATGATATTAATTCATTTTCCAATTTGATAATACACAATCATAGGTAACAATAAGCTATTCTTGTACCCAAGAAGTTCTTCGTGATATCTGAAAATTTAGCTTGAGTACTTATTTCATTGACAGCCTTCACTCTGACAGCAGCAGTTACTGATAAATTCTTCATAAACTGAGAAAAATTAGGACTTTTCTTTGAGGCCTCAACAAGGCTAATAAGCTCGGATTCAACCTTGTCCAACACATTAGCTTTAACTGCTGCAATGTACAAAGCCGAAGCATAGTTTCCAGACACACCAAACATTGTCAGGGGAACCTAGAATATCAAGACATTAACATCTACTGTGTCAGAAATGAAGACAAGATTAGAATAATAAAGTTTATTATAAAATATATTGATTACATATAATATGAAAGCAAAAAGATAAATTGAGGCCTGTATATTATCAAAATTTCCTAATAGATGTTGAAAA